GGGGGGGTGGGCAGGGAGAAAAGTGCAACAATCAATGAACGGAAATTAAAAATCTCTGTAAATGGTCATTAAAATTAATAAAATAAAATTTAAAAAAAGAAATGAAATCTTTTCTATTAGCCTTACAGTGTAATAAAACAATACCAAGTATGTGGTTACTGACTCAGGAGCACTTCACTAGGCCAAGGGCACATCTGTATAACACACGGTTCATGTGTGCACACTGAGAGCAATTTGTTTTAAGAGATACCTGCAATATCACACAGCTCTGTATCAGAAGCATTCGTCAAAGCTTCTTCTAATTCTGGATCAAGAGACACCTTTTCCTCTGTGAAAGCTTGTACAGGTTTCTGTTTAGGGATAAATATTTTCCCTGTAAAATAAAGGCAGTTTGTTAATTTCACTAAGAAATTACTACTGGTCCCTGCAAAATAAAAGCAGTTTGTAAACTCCTCTAAGAAACTACAACTGGTGTTATGACTCGTTATCAATTTACCCATTCAACATCAATTATTAAAGGAATGTGCACTAGAGCTGAAGAAAAAAAGTCAAGATTAACATCTACAATCATTTTATTCCATCTCCAACATGCACTTAAAAGTTTTCAGGCAACTAATTTGGTTGTGCAATTTGTAATGCAAAATAAAATCAGCTGTGAAACTTCCTCACCTGTGGAAATAAAGTAAGTTGTGGGGTTTTGAGCAAATATTACAACTATTGAATTATGAATGAATAAAGATATTTAAAAAGAGCTAAAAAAATAAAAATCTAATATTTTTAAGTAACAAAACTTAACCTTGGAGAACAGTAGAAGCAATTAAGATTTCAGAAATCCAAACTCTCATTACAAAGAAACTTCTATATATCTGAGTAGTATTCAGAATCTTTTGAAATCTTTTCTAAATCTCAATGGACACAAATAAGGTAATTTTCTAAGAAGCTAGTCATTCTAGAGATCTAGTTCACTATAGGAAAAATCAGTCTTGCCACTAGGCCACCAGAGCTCCCCTTGCTTATTATCATAAATTCAATGTTGTACTGACCCACAGGGTTTTCAGAGGCAATTAATCATACAGGAGGAGATTGCCCATCCTTCTCCTGCAGAGCTGATGGTGGCCTCAAACCGTGTACATTCAGGATTGCAGGGTAGCTTCTTGCTACTAGGCCACCAGAGCTACATAAATTCAGTACAAGATTGAAAATACAGAGGGAATGAAAAAGGCTAATGATACAACTGCAGCACAAGCTGACCAAGTAACAGGTGCATACATGTAATTGCATCAGGGATATGAAGACTGCCTCTGCTTTATTTTCAAATAAGGGAATATTCTATATCAAATTATCTGGAAAGGTCTGTGCATGGATTCAAAGAAGTGCCAATTATTTTGTTTTCTGTCAACAACCTTGAGGGCTTCACGGGGCACCCCAGGTAACTGAGCTACTACCATGTTTGGTGCTTCTGTTGTAATCTTGTTTGCTGCACAGTGCCTAGGGTCTGGAAAGTTTGCAAATGGCCAACTGTGGTACAGTCATTGGTTTCTATTCATCTGGAACAATAAAGGAAGGGCAGTCAACAGCCTTCATCAATAACCGTCTCCTCTGTCAATGAGACCAGAAGAACAAGAGGCTGCCCAATTTTCTACTGAACATTTTGGCAGATATTCTTTAGAAGAATTCTGATCAAAAGATAAAAAGAAATCCAGAATAAAATTTAAAATTTTCCTGGAAAATATATTTGAGGCTCGATAAACCCTTATTTCTCTGAGCTAACAAATCAAAACATATACTGAGTGTTCTTAAAACTAAAAACTAGTTTGGCCTAATTGGTAAAGAATTCTGCACTAAGCATTGTACTATTTTAAGAAATACCTACATGAGATCAAACTGACAAGAACAATTTATAAGTCAGAAAATCCAGGGAACAGGGAGTTTATGTTAATGAGGGAGGAGCAATTTGAAAAAGGAGAGTGCAAATGGTTGCATAACAAAAAACGTAATCCGTGTCACTGAATTGAACATCATTCAATCATCGAGTTTGGTTCATATTCTACTGTGTATATTCTCAACAACAATAAAAATAAACTATCAAAAAGAAAGGAACTACCAGATAAACAGGTGAAAACATGTGGCCTTGTGAGTGAAACATGTTCTAAGAGAGGAAACGTTTATAGCTGCAGAGACCGTGCAGCAGGGAGTGGTGTGTCCTGTTGAAGGTAAACATAAATCAGTACAACGTAAGGAATCCTAAAATACACTAATCCCGCTCCCACTAATCTGGCCAGGCATGTCAGGTATTTTCTTGTAAGCCCATCTAATGGATCTTTTTGCACCTTACATTTTTTACTTTTAAAAGTTTGGTTATATAGTTTTCAAGTCTCAGCTGAAACCTCCTATCTTTTCACAGCTGCTGTGCACTTTCCTCTACCAGACCCTGTGACATTTTTATCACTGTTATTTTACAGTCCCTGACTGACAGGGACAATACGTGGGTCTTTAGGTTTTTTACTGTTTTCTTTCTTGACCATAAATCTTATGTTCTTGCTTTCATGTTTTAAGATCTTTAACCACGTGTGGAGCATTCTGTAGAAAAGTATAGTAGAGGCTGAGGGAAATGACATTTATTCTCCAAAAGGAGCACGTTCCTTTGATCTAGGCTGAAGTGACATGCTGAACAGGGTATGAGTTTTGCTGCAACTTTAGCCTGAAACTTTTTTTTTTAGAGAACAGGATCAAGATTTCCCATCAATAAGCCCTGGAGTTAGAACGCTGGTAAAGTTTGAAAAACCTGCTAAGCTGCCTGCTTTTTGAACTGCGAATAGTAAGTGAGCATTTCCTTGTCTTAATGCCAAATTTCTGGGTAACTGGAAAGCATTCTTTTGTTCTCTAGTTCTACCCCCTGCTTTTTGTGCCTTGCAAGATCTCTTTTAGCCCTGTGGCCCCACCCTTGTACTGTCTCCCTCTGCGAAGGTGGGACTACCTACAAGGAATTTCTCTTAGCTCCACTATCCGTCCCTCCATCTCCCCTGGCTGAAGGCCCTCACAGCTGACCTGGTCACTGCTGTTTTCTGAGGCCCTAAATGGCACTGCAGAAGATCGCCTATCTGTCTCCCCTGAAGCAGCTCTCTGGTGGATTCAAACCACCAGAGAGGCAAAACCTTTGGATTTAGAGTGCTACTCCCTATAGACAATGCCACCAGAGCACAGTCTGGATCCTATCAGTACAAATTATTTGAATGTACCCAAACAAAAACGTGGGTAAATACATAATTCAAAGTTAAAGTCACTGCCATGGAGTCTGAACCAATTCATAGCTGGCCCTGCAGCAGGCTTTCAGAGGCCATAAATGGCAGGGGCAGAGAATGCCTGTCTTCTTCCTATGGAACTCCTGGTGGTTTCTATCTTCCTAACCTTCCTGTTAGCAGTATAATTCCCTACAGATGATATAACCAGAGCTCCCTAAATACATCTTTAAATTGATTTTGATCTCTTTAAAAGAGAATTGTTATAAAAAACCACAGTAACAATGTACTATGACTTTGTAACATTATATAAGAGTAAAGTATGATAATAGTAAAAAAAGCCAGGAGAGGAGAAATTGAAGTACATTACTTCAATAATGTGTAAGATGAAATGAAATTTTAAAAACACGCCATGAACCAAACCAACAAAAAATAAGGATAAAATTTTTTTTTTAAAAAAGGAGGAAAAGTAATAAATAATGGGACAAATAACAGATAGGCCATACTAACACTAATCAAAAGAAAACTTGGTTATGTTGTTGCTGTGTGTGTGGCTGAGCCAGAACTCACACACTGTTGATCCTCCAGAAGGTTTTTAGAGGAAGTAAACTGCATGGAAGGAAATGGCGTCTTTTTCTCTGTGGGAGCAGCTGGTGGATTTGAATCACATGTCTATGGGTTGGCAGCACAACTCCTTACTTACCACTAGGGTACCAGAGTACCCTAGATTGAGTACACCAACATAAAAGCAAGATTTCCAAACAAACATTACCAACAGTAAGAAAGGTAATTATGTATACTGCATTGAAGCTGATGAAGAAGAGAACAGTTCAAAAGTAATGTATTTTAGGGCATTATCATAAGAGTTCGGAATGAGGGTGGCAGAGTGGAGTACACTCGGGGTGGGGGTGGGG